AGATCTTGTGAACTTTAGTACTTATAAATGAAAAAATAAGGGGTGACAATTCTAGCATTGATTTTGACCAAATTGTACTGTTTGTGAACTTACTTCCTACATGGCTTTTGTTTTAATAACGAATGTTCTAGAGTTTTCAAGACTATAGCTCTTTCAAATTCCGGAAATGTTAAAAATATTTTTTCTAAATGCTTATGAAAAATATGTCTGCTTTGAAGCAGTAAAATTTTAGACAAAAACTCATTAAAACTGGAAAGCACAATGACCCTAAGCTGTTTATGACACTGCCTCTTCAAAAACGACTCCATCCCCAAGGACAATTCGATGAGGAAAAATTGGAATTGAATGTAAGACTTGAAAAGAGAAGGATAAAAAAAGCCAACAACAACAATAAGGAAGAGAATATTAAAGTGGTGTAGAAAAAAACCTCTGGCATTGCAGGGATAAACGAGTGTGTCCATTCCAATCAGGTTGATGAGCTCATCAGGCCGACTTTTCCGAAATGATTCAATTATTTAATTACTATAGCAGTGCTGGAGTGAAGACGTGTGCTATAATGGAATACAGATTCCTACCGAAACCAAAAGCTGAAAACATCTTGATACCTTCAAGTCTCTGTTGCTGTTGAGCGTGGCATTAATGTTTCAAGGGTGTTAATGAGTTTAGTTTAATCTAGAAATTCCTCAAACAGAATGATTAGGATTTATGATCGAAGGTTTTCAGAAAAAGGAAATTGTTGTTGCCATGACTTTTCATTGTAACATGTACACTTATTAATCATGGCTTGGGCTGGAGTAGTAAATGGTGGTGGGTTCAGAATTTTTTTTCAAGGATTATAAGAAAAAGTTGACTAGGCGTGCCATGTGCGAGCTTGCTTGCTAGATACATATCTAAAAATGTTTTAACCATTCTTACAAATGCAAAACAGTTGAATAGACTGGCTTAATGAACCGTTTTATAGAAAACGTTAATGAACCATGAAAAAGTAAATAGGACTCGTAAATCTGTATCTTAAAACATGAAGCTCCACTGAACACGGCTAAATTTGAGGCTTTTAACCAACTTCATGCAAAAATTGTATATATGCATCTTTTTAGATGCATTAATTAACAAGGGGATTAAAACACATTGATCGATGGAAGCATGTGTCAATTTATTATAGGACAGAAAAATCAACAACGCCTCTTTAGAATAAATATTTAAAACAAATTTTTTTTATATCAATTAATTATACAAATGTGGAGTGTATGCCTTTAAAAAAAAAGGAACTGTATTGTTTAAATATTTGTAAGAAAGCTTAAAATCAAATTTTTGGACGGAACATTTGAAAAAACCTATACCATTAGTGAAAATAGAGTCAGACAGGGTCTGACCAAGCTCTGAACCTTGGCGATTCATTTCAAGTATTTTGAGGCTGAATCCACCAAATAATATGTTGGTTCAAAGTAAAGGCTGTATATAATAGAAATTTAACGAGGTTGTGGTTAAAATCTGTGAAAATGTTGAATATTATAAGATTATCTGTAAGGAAGATTATTAAGATGTAATGCTGATAGATTTTATACATCTGGCATGTAGTTTTTGTATGAGGACCATTATTTTGAAAAGCTTGGATAACAACCCTTTGTTATTATCTCATAAATTTTATTTGATAATTCTTTACGTATTGTTAACCTGTGCCTGTTGACTAAACAAAAACGCGGAATTATTATAGCCTATGGAACTTGCAGACCAGGGACGAAAAAGTATTTGGCTTCCGTATTTACACTCGTCATTTTAACTTCCCGTAACTTTCTCGTGTGCTTGTTTTACAAGCAATTTCGGTCTTATTAGGAAATCATACGGCCATTATTGATTGCAGGCTGTCCAAAATGGCAGCCTTTAGTGATAAAATACTCAAGTGTTTTATTTCTATGTTTAGCCGTGTACTTGTGCAAATAGGCTTTCAAGCACAATGGGAGATTTTAGGATCAATTGGCGAAGCAAAATATTGCCTCCTAGACTTGGGCAAATGAAAAACAATTTGATCTTTATTTGTTCACCAAATATTTATTTTGGAATAAGAATACCAGCTTTGTTTGGATAAGATGTTTAATCAACATTTCATGAAAACAGGGTCAGTCGTAGATTATTTTAGAAATTTAATGCTTTTGAAATATATGAAAATTTGAGCTGTTATTTGAATAGGAGTAATCTTGACATTGGAAAAAAAATGTGTAAATTAAATAAAATGTGGCAAACTCTACTTGGTGAAAATAGAATTTTGTTTGAACTTTATTCTTTATAATTCGTTTACATTTTTCGTTCACCTACAGCGAAATTTGCCGGTCATGATTTATCTGTCTATATAACTTTTTGGGCCCATCTGTCTATAAATACATCTTTTACAATTGCCATGGCAACCTCAATTATTTTAATAAAATTTTAAGATTTTGTCTGGAAGAAAAATTGAAGTATTTTTTTAAAGCTCTCGTAAAATCTCCCATTGTTTAAAAAATTGAAACAGAAATATCACTTTAAAGAAAAATTAAACTTTGTTTTAAAGGCATTCAAATTTTTTTTCTTTTTTTATTGGAAGCTCGCCGAGAGTATAAACTGCATATTGCAGCTTCTGTTGAAATCCATTTATTATGAGACAAACGAGCGAGACAATAATCGTGAATTCTTTTGATGACCTTTAACCTGTCACAGAACTCATTAATATTCATAATTTGATGAGCATGTATTGTGATTTCCCGATGGATGAGTTGCCATTTCTCTGCTATAGACAGTCATGCCTCTAGTGATTGCGAGGAAAATTGTGTATTCTTTATTCCTTCAACAAACTTATTGGTCTCTCCTTGCGGCTGTCTCTGAAGAGTTTATTACTTCATACACGTCTGTGGATATTATCAGATTCTCCGTGACCTTTCAAGGTCGTGGAATATCAGTCGTAGTGATTGATACGTTTTGATTGATTATTGAACAAGGGTGTTACTATATGGTTGACCAGGTCTTATATTATAGAGGGTTGTAATCTTGTGCTGATTAAAAGTTCATTGCTGACAGAGAGATTGGCGCAAACTCCTCACTTACATCAGAGGGAATTAACACTGAGATATTGGTTGACTTGATGGAAATGAGTTTTATGCTTGTTTGAAATACGAGTTTTCTATGGTATCTACTGTAGTTACGTGCGTCATCTTTTCTTTAAGAAACTTTTATGTTCAGAAAGAAAGATCTGGTTACGTTGCCAAAACATCTTCCGACACAACTTTTCATTGAATGAGTTACAACAAGTTTGATGCAATAAAAGTGTTGTAGATAACGTTTGTCTGTTTATTTTAACTTAAACTAATTATTGGTACAGTTTGAGCGTCTAGTCGTCAGTATCGCCTCTTCACAATCGTCATCATCTGCAGTATCATTTGTGCACTGGACTGTTTAATTTGTATCATCGGTCATATAGCATATCTTCATTTCACTCCGTAATCATTTCCTAAAATATATCGAGAATAAAAGAAAACCTCCGCACAAAATCAATCGCAATAGATAAGTCTCTTCATTGCTTTTTAAAAGAATACGGAAAAAAAAAAGCAACCTCTGCGATATCTTAGAAGAGAAAAAAAAAACGTAGCTGGAATCAAGGAACAGGGAAAAGATATCTATTAATAAATCTCTCTTCCAGTTTGATTCACTATTGATTTCAAATCCAAATCATATTAGAAATTGTAATGCATTTGTGTTAGATTTCCAGCTGATTAGCCGGAGTCGGGCTTGCTTTACGATGACGACGATAGTCAGAGAATTAATTGCATCAATTTAAGACGGCAGCGCTGACAAAGGATAGAGAGTCGCAATGTTAAAGCGTGCCCTGACATTCAATACCAAGATTTTTACTCTTGTACAAGGGAATATTATCCTTTTATTGGATCTTCCGAGAGTATCGAAATATGGTTGAATGATGCTGTTGTTTTGAAAATACTATTTTTTTTGTACTTTTCAATTTGTTCGTGATTTTTTTTGTTTTGTTTTTTGTTTGTTATTTTTTTACCTGCCGTGTCATGTAAACTGTAGTAAGAAATGGAGTGGAAATCTATTTTTTTCCTTTGTAAAAGTTTTTTTAACATCAAAATATAGAAAGCAAGCTGCGTACATATTTGTCATGCAATGTAAAAAAAAAACAAGGTTTTATGAAATATAAAAAAAACGTTATGTTATGGGAGTGAATTTATTTTGACATTATAATAAGCAGTTTTAAAAGTCAGACTATTATAAGATTATTAAGTCTTGTCATTAGATGAATAAAATTTACATAAAATCATCGTCATTGTTATCATGTAATTATAACATAGCGTCAGTTTTATTGTTTTCTCCAATGGTAGTTTAGAACTGCTTATAAATATCGCATAGAATGGGTCTTTTCTTTAAAAGATTTCTTAACATTTCCTGTATGTTTGTCATTTTGTTGCATACAAGCGATAGAAATTAATGTAATGTTAACAAAATAGATATGAAAATTGTAATGTAAATATAAGTACTATAATTGAACTGTTACTGTGATAATAGGAGGTAATTTAGTCACAGTATGACTATGGCTATATATTATTTTAGTGAAGTAGTTCAACAAGGGCGTTGTGTTGAACTCACTGTTTCAAGTAATTTGAGTCTGAGATTTTGTTGTTAAAGATTCATGACTCATTTGCTCACTAGCCCCCTAAAAAACACAATTATCCACCTTATAATGTCCCGAAACTAAACCCTTCAATGTCCCAAAACCCAACTGCCCAACCATGCAATGTCCAAAAACTCAACCAGCCAACCATACAACATCCCAAAACCCAAATGCCTTATAGTATCTCTCAAAATTCTGACACTCCGTATGATTGAGTGAAAAAAATTATCTATATATATCATTGTAAAATCATAAACATTAATTTGTACTAGTATTTTTATGTTTTTTTTCATCTTGTAAATATGCACAGCTGATGTAAAACAATGTTTTTCTTTTGTCATTTCAGACTGAAATTGCGAAGAGATTAAATGCAATTTGTGCTCAAGTGATACCGTTCCTGTCCCAAGAGGTAACTTAACATTACATAATCAATACGAGCTCGGCAAACAATAACAAGTTGTAATCTACTGCACTTATTATTCATTCTTTAATATTTTTAGTCTCATAAATTCATAATTTACGTTCAGTAGTATTAATTGGGGGGGAATGTTTAAATTTTAATGGTACTTTGATATGCAAAACGTATGGTTACATGGGGGAAATGTGTAAAACAGAAACATGTTTGAAACGATTTTTTGCCTTTTGATTGAACACAATGTCAATATTGATGTTCTTTTGTATGAAAAAATATTATTTTTGTTTAAATCTCCCGAGTGCCTTTGACAACAATGGCAGACCCATAGAGGCTGGCCCAGCTGGCACATCTGTGCCATCTTAATATTAACTGCTTAATTTTCATTTATAGTTTTTAGCTCGACTATTCGATAAGAATAAGTAGAGCTATTGCAGTCACCCGAGCGTCGGCGTCGGCGTAACCACTTATGTTAAAGTTTTTGTAATAGTTCAAATATTTTCAAAGTCCATTGACATATGGCTTTGAAACTTTGCACACTTGTTCACCATCATGACCCCAATCTGTAGACAGGAGGAGGTAACTCTATCAAGCATTTTGACAGAATTATGCCCCTTTTTCGACTTAGAATTTACGTTAAAGTTTTTGTAATAGTTCAAATATTTTCAAAGTCCATTGACATATGGCTTTGAAACTTTGCACACTTTTCACCATCATGACCCCAACCTGTAGACAGGAGGAGGTAACTCTTTCAAGCATTTTGACAGAATAATGCCCCTTTTTCGACTTAGAATTTACGTTAAAGTTTTTGTAATAGTTCAAATATTTTCAAAGTCCATTGACATATGGCTTTGAAACTTTGCACACTTGTTCACCATCATGACCCCAACCTGTAGACAGGAGGAGGTAACTCTATCAAGCATTTTGACAGAATTATGCCCCTTTTTCAACTTAGAATTTACGTTAAAGTTTTTGTAATAGTTCAAATATTTTCAAAGTCCATTTTCATATGGCTTTGAAACTTTGCATACTTTTTCACCATCATGACCCCAACCTGTAGACAGGAGGAGGTAACTCTTTCAAGCATTTTGACAGAATTATGCCCCTTTTTCGACTTAGAATTTACGTTAAAGTTTTTGTAATAGTTCAAATATTTTCAAAGTCCATTGACATATGGCTTTGAAACTTTGCACACTTGTTCACCATCATGACCCCAACCTGTAGACAGGAGGAGGTAACTCTATCAAGCATTTTGACAGAATTATGCCCCTTTTTCGACTTAGAATTTACGTTAAAGTTTTTGTAATAGTTCAAATATTTTCAAAGTCCATTGACATATGGCTTTGAAACTTTGCACACTTGTTCACCATCATGACCCCAACCTGTAGACAGGAGGAGGTAACGCTATCAAGCATTTTGACAGAATTATGCCCCTTTTTCGACTTAGAATTTACGTTAAAGTTTTTGTAATAGTTCAAATATTTTCAAAGTCCACATTGACATATGGCTTTGAAACTTTGCACACTTGTTAACCATCATGACCCCAACCTGTAAACAGGAGGAGGTAACTGTATCAAGCATTTTTTTTTACTATCAAGCACTAAGAATAGTCGAGCGTTGCTGTCCTACCGACAGCTCTTGTTAATAACTTTACTTCTTTAGGGTTGGCATGTAACTGTTCCAATTTCATAACTTAACGTCCCTTTAAGTTGGCAGTGGAACTGTTCCAATGTCATAACTTAACATCCCTTTATGATGGCAGTGAACCAATTTCATTTCTTAACATCCCTTTTATTTGTCAGTGAACTGTTACATTTCATCACTTAGTAAAACAATCTAGTCATTTAAGTCTACCCTCTCATTTCATTTCTTAATACCCCTGTAAATAAGCATTGGGCTGTTCCATTTACAGGGCAGGACTAGTCCATTTTGAAAAATCAGTGAATCTGGGGGGGGGGGGCAATGATAACAAATGCTGGAACAGTTAAATGAACAGAAGTCATCATCTCGGCTTTCTTATGAAACTGTTGATAATAAAGTACCCAAGGGTCCCTCTCTTTTACTGGTGTATTGATTTAACAATATTCAAGTCTTATAAAGAATATTGTCCTCGCTGTGCTGGAATCTAGAGTCACAGAGAAAGGCAAATAGAATAATCTAAAGAAAAGAGTGATATTTAGCCCAAAGAAGTCCATGGGATCGTCTGCTAGGGTTGTCTTTTTGTGTAAATATGTACTTACTTTGTACTATGTATTTGATAGGTTAGGAATAATCCAAATATTATTCTAGTCTCTACCGTTTTGGACTCCTCACCCTCCAAAAATAACCCTTTAATGTAGAGAAGACACTCACCATGTTGAGGCTATATCCTTTTAAAGAAATGGAAAATCGAATTTTAGTCGTCCCTTTTAGATATCGTCATTTTTGGAACATTCCATTGTCAGTTTAAGGGAAATAAGGATGATAAGTTAAAGCTGGTCTGTCCGGTTCTATACGGTACCCGTTTTATACTGGTGGCAAAGGCTTCTGACTTTGGATTCCAGTAAGGTGCAGGTTAAATTGGACAGTTACCATATTATCACAATGATGTGAACATGCACGCATATGTTTTTCTTTCAGCACCAACAACAGGTGGCAGCGGCCGTGGAACGAGCCAAACAAGTAACAATGACAGAACTGAATGCTATTATAGGGGTATGTTATCTTGTTTTGAAGTTCATATGAAATTTTCTTGGTAAAATTTCTCATTTTTACAGGCAGTCAAATTCTGTGGCAATAATAAATACACGTTTCATATATATTGGTAAATAGTATCTTTGATATATATATATGCATGTAGATAGTGAAATCTCTTCTTAAAATGGAATAAAAATTAGAAGTATAATACATTTCCCTTCTGATATTCTCTGCCTCGACTACATGGCACAACATGTGAACAGGTTTCCTGTAACTCCTGAGGGAATGTGATAGTTGTAGCATAAACATTTATAGCAGGTTGTGATTAGTTTACTGTAACATATTTCTTTCAAAGAGAGAAAACCTTTGTACAGATTTTGTAAATTCAGATGTAACTAGGGTCAAGGTCACAAATATTAAGGTCAATCATTGTTTTAAGATTGCATAGTTTAAAGATTGCATATTAACTGACTGAGTTGTCTGTGTCCATTGGTGTCACTGTTTTGATGCCACTGTACACATGTCTGTCAGCTAAAGGGAGAGCATCAGATTGATAATCTCTGGGGTTGCTGTTTTGAACCTTGGGCAAGGCATAATTTCTCCATGACAATTGATGTCGGACATTGAGTCAAATAGTCATGCTATCATTTAGTATTGTTTAAAGATTTTGTTTTGAATTCTATGAAACTTTATCTTTTTATATCTTTTTCTTCTGTTTTCTGTTAATCATAGCAACAGATGCAGGCACAGCATCTACCACATGCAGCACATGCCCCACCCATCCCTATGGGACCACACCCAGCAGGATTACAGCCCCCAGGGCTTCCTGTTTCTAGTGCAGCAGGAATGGGCCTCCTTGCTCTGGGACCCGGCTATGCCCAACAGCATGTCAGTTCTCTAAAAGAAGACAAAGGTAAGCCAGAAACCAGTATAGATATAAATTAGGAATTTTTTTAGGATTCTTTATTTTTTATTATTTTTAAAAATTTTAACGTAACTCTAGAGCATGTCTGTATTGTACATTTGTACTTCCCTCCCGATATTGGGGTTTAAACCAATCACTGTAGTAGTCCTTGAACTTAGAAAATGGATTTAAGATGATGCGAAGATGAACCTTTAAAAAATAATTTGATATTTATCCAATTCATTTAAAATTGTTTTACTTTACCTTAATAACATTCAACTTGGCTGATTGAATATAACCGTTGTTGTTTTTTTTCCCCTTCTTAATTCAAACATTTTTTTCTTTCTATCTTTCGGGCATATTGAAATGTTGTAATTATGAAAGGAGAAGAACACTTTAGGCTGAATGAGGGAAAACATTTCTTAGCGATTGCTTTGGCATTTTAGAGGGGTCTTACATAGGAGAAGTGTTCTCTGGCAACAGATCTGTCGTTTCTATCTAATATTTTCTAAAAATGGATCTTATCAGCTCTAGGAAATGTTGTTACCATGAAGTGGCATCAGTGTTCAGTCTTTCTATGATGTTTGTGAAATATTTTCAAAAGTTACGTATCATTTTTGGTAAAAAAAATTGGGCCCTATTCCCCTCTTCTTAAAAGTAGGGTTTCTTGTTAATGGAGCAAAATGCGTCCATGCAAAAATGAATGATGAATAGACATATTTCTATTAAAATGATTTCTGCTTGTGCATTTTTGTTAACAATTAAAGCACAAGAAAATGCAGTTGTTTTTTTTTTAAACCAGAAAATGTAAAACGAAAATTTATAAGTTTAATTGAAGTGTAACTGAATTAGCACAGTTATAACTTGTATTAATTAATTTTCCCCTTTAAAAGGGACCAAGTGTTCATTCCTTAAAATAAAAAACAAAACAATTTTTTTTTTTTAAATTCCATTGAAAAGTTACAGAGAAAAAGTTGATTCTGTTACAAAATATATGATACAAAGCAAATTGTAGTATGTTTTGATAGGATAGACTTGCTAATATGAATTTAATGATAGATTATTTTTTTCTCAGAAATTTGTAATTTAATGATAGATTATTTTTTTCTCAGAAATTTGTTAAAATAACAAGGGATCAGTTTCATACAAATTAACAATACTGTAAATGTTATTATCGACAAGGTAAAAGCTGTTGATTATACATCAAGAAATAAGCCTGTTGATTCTTTCTGAGCTTTTCGGAGGCAACACAGGCTTGTTAAGTATACTAAATCAGAACAGTCGCAAAGCCTTTTTCTCAGTGTGTCTTAAATCTGTGGTTCAATCAATTAATGTAATGTACATAATAATGTAACGTACATAATGAGCTGCGTTAATAATTTTACAAAGCAATGTGTTCATTTTCGAAAGTAACATGTTAACATATGAGACGGAAAATTACAATATCTATATCGTCCCAGTATCTGTGACTGCTGTAAGTTCAGATGCCTTAACACTTAATCTTCCTGTAACCAAAAATGATATAGTCTATGCTACCAATATAGTGACTTTTATATTTTGATATTGAAATCCCAGAAATTTCAATTTGTTCCAAATTCAAAGCAAGGTAAACTTATTACACACATTTAATAGGTAAAGATTTGTAAAGTGTATAAAGCAATATATCTGGTTAAGAAATTATGGTTTAAATTTTAAAAAGGATGCTTGTACGAAAAGTAAAATTATATGTCGCCTTATAAGGGAATGGCCCATGCACAAAGTCATTGCTAAATGGTTAAAACCCTACTTGAAATAGTAGCATAATATTTTGTTTCAGAATATGTTTTTCTTTTCACTTACAATATTCATGTTTGTGAAATAATAAGAGACATTTTATGCTACAACTCTTTCGAGAATCGGTCTTAAGATTATGGAAACAATATAATTTTACTGTTGATAAATTTTATAAGATACAGCTTTTACCCTTTAAAAACATTATAAAAAAAACCTATTAGGAAGCCTACCAGTGCAGAGAGTCATATGTTCCACTCTGGTGCCTGCCCATTAGCTGAAAAAAAAATGCATGGACAGGCATCTCGAATATTTAGTCGATGAAATAAAAATCTAGAAAGTTAATTTGAGATAACGTTATTAAAAAAAAAATTAATAAAAAAAAAATTTGTAGAAGAAAAATTGTTTGAATTACCATTATATAAACTTTGAGCTGCTGAAAATACATGTAAGGGACTAGTCCATTTTCCATTTTCAAACTGTCAAAGCTATTCAGCCAACAGTATAGAGCCTGGTCACACTGCATGGAAGTACAGGTTGGCCCGGCTCAATACTGGTGGCCCTCTGCCCAATTTCGGGTTCCAGTAGATTTAAGGGCTAAATATGATACACTCATTGGACACTGCATTTCTAGCTGAAATGATGACATTTTTTGTTCGGAGAAAGCATGCCTGAATTTCTGTAAATAATATGTTGATTTTCTGTAAGCTTAATTCCTTTGTAGTCTCCTGTTTATTATTTATGCATATTTGTTTTCGTAATTATTTAAGGAAGGGCAATTATGCCATAACTATATCTAGCGGTGTGACAGTTTAATAGAAAAGACAACATTATGCTCAGTAAATTAGCTGATTGTTACTAAATGTTATGTTTAATCCCGTCTAGGTTCACCCAATGGGTCGTCGGCTCTTCGCAGGTCCATGTACCCATGGTCAGAAGTTAAGTACCAACATAGTTCACCATTTTATCTAGCTCACAAACTAACCTGATGGCCAGAATAACACCCTAACACCTCTACTGCTTTATATTTCCTTGTGCCACTTTTGTTCATGTTAATTCATTAGGGTTGATTGCTGCAGGTGGAGTTGCTATCTCACCAGGCATCAATGATTGATAGGTAATATCAACAATTTTATCCATAGTTGATATCAGCTTTGCAATATTATCATCATGTGAATTGTAATTCTATCATGATGAATTTTATTCATAGTTGATATCAATACTATCATATTAGTTTATCTAGAGTTGATATCAAAATCGCAATACAATCATATCAGATTATTCATACTTGATTTCACTATTGCTTTAATTATGGTTTGTCTGTAATAAATATATTATTTTTGCAATAATGATAGTTTATTCATAGTTGATAAGTTTATTCATAGTTGATATCAATATTTCAATACTATCATATCAGTTTATCCATAGTTGATATCAATATTTCAATACTATCATATCAGTTTATCCTTAGTTGATATCAATATTTCAATACTATCATATCAGTTTATCCATAGTTGATATCAATATTTCAATACTATCATATCAGTTTATCCATAGTTGATATCAATATTTCAATACTATCATATCAGTTTATCCATATTAGATATCAATATTTCAGAACTATCATATTAGTTTATCCATAGTTGATATCAATATTGCAATACTACCATATTAGTTTAACCATAGTAGATATCAATATTTCAATTCTATCATCAGTTTATCCATAGTTGATATCAATATTGCAATACTATTGTATCAGTTTATCCATAGTTGATATCAATATTGCAATACTATTGTATCAGGTTATCCATAGTTGATATTAATATTTCAATACTATCATCAGTTTATCCATAGTTGATATCAATTTATCCATAGTTGATATCACTATTACAATACTATTATTAACTTTAATAATATTTCGTCTGTATTTAATAAATTATCATTGCAATAACAATAGTTTATCCATATCATATCACCATTGCAATACTGTCATTAACTATAAAGATATTTTATTCATAGTTAAAATTGCCAATACTGTAATAATAGTTTATACTACCATAGTTTATAGATAGTTGATATCACCCTTGAAATGCTATCTGTGTAAGAATGAATGAAATGAAATGATGTAGTATTTAAACTAGGGGTGTATCATATCAAATTATTACGCAACATCCTATGATATAAGAAAATATATTTCTATTTAATTGACCAAATATAAACTTGTAAACATATAAGGTTTCACAAGTATTATTTTGACACAAAAATATTGATTGTTGGGTTTTTCTATCAAGTAATGAGAACTTTGAGTCTCGTGCAATCACTATTTTGTCCTTATTTATCCAAACAGTGCAAGACTACAAGCTTCATTAATGTATTCTTATTAGACGGGTTAAAAAGCACAATTATCAAAAAACCGTATTTCTTTGAAGTCAAGCGTTTACAAAAGATTCTGAAGCTGTTGCCAGTTAAATGACTTTATATAGGCTTGTTGAACATGCTAATGTTTCCACCAATTAAAGATTTACACTAAATCAAATCTTCAAAGAGGTCCGGTTTTGATTACAGTGTCTTTAAAATTCTTTCAAGTTAAAGAGGAGTTCTGTATTGTGAAGTAACATGAACAATAGGTTTAGGAATGGTGATGGGTTTTCGTATCGAATGTATGGTGGTGGTTTTTTGCTGCCTTTTTTTGCAATGATAGATATGGCTAATATTTTAATGTTTGCGTGCTTGTAGCTGAGTACTAATTTAGTTAAACAAGCATTTACTAAATTTATTAGATATGAATGTATTGATTTAATGAAAGATTTAATTAATGTTTCTTGTTCTATCACGTTTCCTTGCGCATTACTGATAATGTTATTTAGTTGAAAACAGCTTGTGGCTGAGGGGTAGTCTCTAAAGATTGAGGCATCAGAATTGCAGCCACCGTTAATCCCTGCGTGATCGTAAGAGGGCCACTAAATGGGTTCAAATTACTGGAGTCTATGCATCTCTTAGCTCCAGCAGGTGAGGTGGTTTTGAACCCTGGTGTTGCTTTAAGTTTGTAACACCGTAGGTAAGTCAAACTCGCCTTTCCTGTTTTGGCGCCATATGACCTAAATTGTGTTGGTGAACACCGTTAAACCAAACCAAATAAAGCTAAGTTTATTTCAAGCTTGATTGTGAAACTAACGACAAATTATATAAATCATTTTTGAGTCTAAATCATTACTACTACCATTGTGACATTTAGGGAGACTTGGTCATGGCCAGAGTATGGCTCAAACCTGCAATCTCTCAGTTGAGCAGAATACGCCTGAAAATGTGTAAATTTATTATCAACCTACAATGTCCGAGGCCTGCACAGAATGTGTACTGACCAATGAAAATCCTAAGATCGGAGACAAATCTCTTAAAATGTTTTATAACCTTGAGGTCAAGTGCATAAAGCAATATATCGGCTGGTGGCAGTTAACAAAATTATTGTTTTAATTAAAAAAAATATATATATATATCGGCACTTCTAAAACACCTGTTTGTAAAAAAAAACATTTGTATCTTTCCTTACACACAAATGGCACATTCAGGAAATTATAACTAAAGGGTTAAAACCCTACTTAAGATAGCAGCATTATATTTTGTTCCGTAAATTTTTGTATGTTTACGTACAGTATTCATGTGTGTTAAAGAACACAAGACTTCTTTCAAGAAGCGACTATAAGATTATGGAACCATTTACTGTTTATAAATTTTATAGAAAAATAATTTTATTATATATTTATTGCTTTATATCCTTGTAACTATTAGGCTAATGCTCTCCTTGATATTATTTGATATTGTAAAAGTAGGACTGTAGTGGCATTCATAACATGGTATTTTAGAAGACATGATTCCTAAAATTATATTTTAATTGTGACCGGTGTGACTCATTTTGTTAGAGGGATAACTAATTGGGTAAACCCCGTAAGACACAAACCCTGTATGACATACCCTGTAATAATCAAAGCCTGCAAGATATAAACACTGCTAGATACAAACACTGTAATACTCAAACTTTGTAATACTCAAACTCTGCCTGACACAAACACTGCAAGATACAAACCATGCAAGACACAAACCCTGTAATACTCAAACTCTGCCTGACACAAACACTGCAAGACACAAACCATGCAAAACACAAACCCTGTAATACTCAAACTCTGTCTGACACAAACCCTACAAGATACAAACCCTGCAAGACACAAACTCTGCAAGATACAAACCCTGCAAGATACAAACCCTGCAAGACACAAACACTGCAAGATACAAACCCTGGAATATTCAAAGCCTGCAAGACACAAACCCTGTAATACTCAAACACTGTATGATACAAACCCTGCAAGACACAAACCCTGCAATACTCAAAGCCTGCAAGACACAAACACTGCAAGACACAAACCCTGCAAGAGACAAATTCTGTTATACTCCGAGCCTGCAAGACACAAACACTGTCAGGCACAAAGTCTGTAATACACAAACTGTGTAATATGCAAATCCTTTAATACAGAAACCCAATTAATAACCAATCACTTTTCCTTGCTCATGACTGAAATAATATACAAAGGCGGCATCTGGGGTCCACCTTGGTTGAAAAGTCTCCATTTGACCTTGACATTGACAGTCTAACCAGTTATGTTTTCAGTAATAAAAATTGTACTTTAACAGAGTTGGACAAAACTAACCCTAAATTGCTGAAGTTTTACTTATTACTATTCCACTCTGTGTTCAGTATTACAATATAACGTGATAGGAGGTTTCATGAATAGTAAATAAGACAGGGGATGTTTAAATTTGAATTTGCTAGTTAACATCGCTAGTGGGGGGCTGTTTAGATTGTAACTTAGATGCTAGAATAGATGCATGAAAACATGTTGTGTATATTTGTTCTTACATTATCTTTTATTTACTAATCTCTCATTTCCATGTTAATATGTTTTCTCTTATTGCGAACTCTTGGAAAAGATTTTTTTATTATTGTAAGATAGTAAATCATTGTCGTGAATTTTAATCATTAAAGGAATTTCAACGTTTTTTGATGCTGGAGGAACAGGATTTTATATACTCTGATTCCAATTTTGTGTTTTTGAAACAAGAAAATAAAAATCACTGAAAAGGGGTGAAGTTTTTCATGTGACTGATGCATACATTAAGGTCAGTGGCCCTATCTAAAATGCAATGTCATGCTGCGAGGAAAAAACGGGAATGTAAAAATGATGGTTGTTAAGTCTTTATGTAATAATTAAGATTAGTAAAATGAACCTATTAGCACGTGCAACAGATTGTTGTACATCTATTAATGGTGGCTGTAATATGTACATAAAGTTAATGATGTTTTATTTTTTGTTTACAGGTGAAGACAAACATGTGAGTACACTCGTTTTTTTATCATTCATTCTTTATGCTGTACTGATATCTCTGCCTATACAGCCCAGTGATATCTGAGTGTCGAACAGGCTACTTGTTTGTTTATTATGAAGATAGTGTCTGTTTGTTTTAAGGAGTTTAAGATTAAATATTACGGACAAAACATGGTGAAAGAAGTAGTTGTTGTTGTTGCATTGGTTTATTGAAATAGGTAGGTGATCTTGATTGACCTCGCTTAGCTCAATGGGAATAGTGTCGTAGTTATAATCCAGGGGCCACTGGTTCGATCCTGGAGTGCGGCGAAATTTCTCTAAAACAGTTGATCTCGGACATTGTGTCTAATGGTCATTTGTCTCCTTTTGCTTATTCAAAAAGCATGTGATGTGGGATTTGTAGTGGATCACTTGTGAATTACTGGTTAGTTGTCCAAGAAAACCAGTTAAGTCGACTGATTGCACAGATTTATCCAATCATGTGTTAAAATCGGTGTAAGAACCAAACAGACATTTATGTTACAGTTATGATGGGGTTCTGAATGTCTTTAGCGATGAATTCATTCAATCATTTCCTGTGAGAATGAATTGGTTTAAAAGCGGAAGTCTGGGAATGGTCAGGTTCAGTTTCCGATGTTAATAAGGTTGATAATTTTTCTCTGTGTGTGTTGAACAGCAATATTTCAGACACTTTGCTTGAAATAGTTGCTTTTGTGCAGCAAATGGGTAGAAATACAAAAGTTTTGAAGCAAGTTGGTAGAAAGTACTAATGTTTTTTTTTTTAACAAATGGGTAGAAAGTACAAATGATTTTGGTACGAATGGGTAGAAAGTATGACTGTTTTTGGCAGCAAATTGGTAGAAAGTATGAATGATTTTGGCAGAAAATAGGTAGAAAGTATAGGAGAATGGTAAAACGTATTACTTTTGGGTATCTGCTGGGTAGTAGTACTAATGGCTGTTCACTCCAGATCACTACATTCTGAATGCTGTCAGTTTAAATTCAGATATCCAACAAACTTTAAGAACATTGATGGTCCCACAAGTTATTCAACATTTGTTTCAAAAAGAAAATACAAATGAAAAGCTATGCTCTGTTAATGTAATGGTCAGTGACTGCATGGCTGTAGAAGAACAGTGGCAAGATTAAGAGTTACATTAAGTCTTATTACACGATAATGTCTAAAAATGGATTACGCTGTACGACAAAAAAAAAAAAAGATAAAAATTTAATGCATTGTAATTCGGTGATCGAGAGGAGATTTGAAGCATTTCAATTGATTGGATTGGTCATGGTCAGGTGATTAAGGCCGCATTAACTTTCCGTAAATACCTCGACCAATATTTATTGAATTAACGGAGGGATTACGGTAATGCTGAAAAATGAGGGTGCATTGATAGGGAAAAGCTACAGTGTTATAAGCTCCTTTACTGAATTAATTCTAATCTCTAATAGCATGGCTTGATCCCACGCTGCATACTTGCCTTTTAGTAGTTATTGGAAAGGTTTTTTGTTTTGTTTTTCAACGAAGCCGATGTTTCAAGTCTATTTCGGTACAGGCTCGGATGTAGTTTTCTCTCCTGTTTAAGCGTGCAGAATGTTCGTAATTTAGTTACGTTCAAATTAACTTTGTGATTTTAGATTTATTTGTTTGTTTATATTTTTTTTATGGAAAACTTTATAATCAGCTTTTATTAATTTGTGGCAAAAAAAAAATGTGGGAGAGAAAGTTTTTACCGTAGCTGATTTTGAAAATTAAGATGTTTTTGTTTTGTTATCGTTTTTGGTTTAAAGTGAAGTGGTAAGATGAAATTATTTTGTTAAATAAAGGACCAAGTTATGTCGAAGAGCTCTAAAGGGAGATAATGAATATTTATTAAAAGGTGGGAGGCGAGGGTTTGCCAGGCAACTCGATGTTGTGTATCAAGTATCTATTGTTCCGCAGATCAGTGGGTACATTGTTATGTTAATCACTTCTCCTCTCGAAAAATCGTATTTTTTTCTCTCGCGCTAATAACGTAAATCTTGTCATAAAACGTCTTTTAGGGGAGACTTTCTAAAACGGACACTTACGAACACTTCAGAGTGCATATATTGAGAGTAAATTGAGCAAACTTTGAAACTTGAATGGCATGTTTAGACGTTAGGAAAAAGATTGTTTACACACCGCTGAATTTATGAATGTGTGAATTTATGCCAGGTGCTTGGTATTGGTTGTATAAAAATCTGTGGGTATCAAATTCTGTCTATAGCTTTGCATTATTTGTCAAAATGTTTGCTCTCGACTTTGAAAGCAATCTATTTTTTTTTTTCCGTTGAATGAGTTCCGGAGATAATGGCCTTTCAAACTATTTTGTACAAAAAGGAAGATAGTGACTGTTTGTGCTATGATGGAAAGCTTTTTAGTCGTGAGCAGGTTGAAACGAAATTTACAAATAAAGAAGATCATTATTTTTTTCGTAACATAAAAAGTAGTGCTGAAGGGACATGTCTTAAGGTGCAAGTTAAACTGTTTTTTTATCATTATTAAGAATAAATGTTTTCATTAGTCAGCAATTATGGTTTGAAGTCAAGCTTTACTCAATGAGGTATAGGTTTATGAAAAGTAATTCACTTACAATAGGTGAAATACACAACATAACTTAACTAGTAAAGGACATTTAAAGCAGCACGACACCACATGTGCTCATTTTTATGAAAACTTTAAAAATAAATATTAACGAGTTAACATGCGAACAAGTGAAATAAAAAAAACAGTTATTAATAAAACCTTTGCCTAAATCACTAACAATTCACTTGAATATTTTTTTTTCAATTTAAACATAGAGGTCATTGGACCTGAAAAAAAGTGCATTGCATTGGTGTAAAAATCTGGAAGGGATGTTTAACAGTAATTTTTATTGTGATTATTTTAATATTTATTTTGATAACTAATGGTTGATCAATAAATTAATGATTGTTTTCTACTGATCACTGCAGATTTAAATCCCATCACGGAGATTGAATTATCTCCCAGGAAAGTCATTAGTTGTACCCATGTAACGCCTTTAGCCTGAGTGAATGTACAGAGAGGCTTTCCGCCACCAGGAATTAAAAAATTTAATTGGGGCATTTCCAGAGGTTTTTTTTACTTGCAGGGGTGCAAAATTTCAACAGAAAGTTTGACAGTTTACTAATTTTCCAGAGGGAGTCATAAATGAAAGTTTTGCTGCATTTTACTAGTTTTACTAAAAAGAATAACATTTGTTGATACCGAAGTGTCAGAGAGGTTTCACTTCATATCAGCGGTGCTCAGTCAGACAACCCCATCCTTATCCCGCTCCTCTCTATTCATGCATACAGTAAGTTGCTATAGAACCTGCAACTCCCAAGGTGCAGTGAGTCGCCTTTCATTCAATAGTCAGACACCAAGACTCTGCGAGTCACTTATATTCGAATAAATCGAAAACCAATTCTCTGTGGGTCTCATTCCATTAAGTCGGATAGATTTTTTTACTTTGTCAACGGAAAAATCCTCAATTTTTTTTTTTTCAGCTCACCCTGGTAATATGCCCCTTTAATCGCTCCATGTCATGTCTGTTTCAATGGACACATAGATAACCCAGATCAATATAATGATTCAACGCTTTGATATTTTATTATAGGCAAAATCAATGATTAAATTGATTTACATAATTTTTTCTTGTCCTATAGATTTTCCCATATGATCACCTGACTGTGTCGTATGGACGTTGATTACAACGGTATTGCCGATAAATATTATGATAGAAAGCGAGACCCGTCGCGTTTATATCGCAATAAAAAAAAAGAAGAGAAATTTTGATGGAGAGATTTCGAAGATGGGAATGAAAGTTTAATAGGGCAATTTGATTACTTATTAACATATAGCATGTTATATGTAGTGGTTAATTTGAAATGTCTAAATGAGGACATTACTCAAAAGAGATTTATTTTTTTTCTTGAAACTTTTGCAAACATGATTATTGGGCCTTACTGCGCTTAATATCTTTAATGGACTGGCCCATATTTCAGTCTGAACAGAACCATCTCGAAATCTAGGGAAATTTTCAAAAAATGCAAACTGAATAGCGAAACAGTGCAGACCATGATTTGTTGGCACAAATAGTGCAACAGTGCTGGTTGATTTTATTGTGGCCCAATTGGTCAAATCTATCGCTGCCAGCAGGTTAAAAGTTAAAATCATTGATTGATGGTGTGCTTCATTTTGTATTTTTTGCAAAACTGTTTCGTTAAACAAGAGGCATAATATTTGGATAGTTGAGACTTACAAAAAAAAATTATGCCTTTTTGAAGGGGTCTGCAGAATCTTGTCCATATAATTTTTAAGTCATAAATTCAGTATGGTGGAAAGGTACTTTTTGAGGGTTAAAATTAGGGTATAACAAACATTAAGAGTTATATACATATATGAAGCATCGCATATTAAGAAAAAAAAAAAAAAAAAAAAAAAATTTTTTATTTTCATGTTTTTTTGATATTGAGGAAGGGAGGGATAATCTAATAAGAAAGAAATAAGGTTTAAGAAGGAAAGAGTAATAAGATAATTTGATAAAGAATAAGGCTCGATAAATCACTGGAACAAGTCTACCAGAAATAAGTATTTTAATAACTCTGTTGATAGGTTAAAGATCATTAAAGACAGATTACCTGTGAACAATAAACAAGCGAAAAAAATCGAAAAAAAAAAAATCGGGAAAAAGAAAAATCGAAAAAAATTTAGTCACGTGTCATGTAATGTTATGATTTAATTGCTAATCTGTGAAAAGTATGGCAGAAATATGTTCATCCGGAACTGACGCGTTATGTGCTTTTGAGCGTTTCATAAAATATACGCCTCGGTCTATTGGGCGCAATTTTCATGATCAATTCTTATTGTGGTGTGAAATGTAAATATACTTAGATGTGGTTGTTGATAGTGAAATATTAACCCTGTTTAATCTAGAACTGTGCAAATATTGACTTTTCCTCGTTATTTACCTTGTTTAT